CCCCCCTCCTGCCTGCCATACACACACACTTTTTGAAACCTTTTACCTTTTCCGACTGAAGGAAGAGAGGGAAAGGTTTTTTAAAAGTGTGAGAAAGTGAGGGAAAGCCCCTTTTCACACTTGGCTACTGGTTTCCACCTGGCAAAAGTTGGAAAACAATTATAAAAAGGGGGGAAACCTACTATTCTCAGAATAAAAAATTGCAGGGGAGGGGTGTGTTCCAAAAACAAAAGTTGTTTTGACTAAACCCTTTTTTTTCACAACATTTAGTTCCTGAGTTTTAGTCAAAATTGTTTTGGTCATCTCAATAAATAACAGGGCTTCTTCTTTAGCTCAAGCCATGGGGGTCTGGGCCTTTGGAGCAGGAGGAGCTAAGTTCTATCCCTACTGTAGCCCTACAGGACTAATTGGCCACAGTGTGTAATGGTGAATTTCTAGGTGGCCCTGCAGTCACTACAATATGTCATTTCAGGGCACTGAGCGCTTTGGCCCTGACCCAGCAAAGCTTGCTTTACTTTAGGCACATGACTTGTCCCATTGACCTCAGACAGCCTTAAAGTTAAACACTTGGCAGGATCGAGCCCCTACATCCCTTCATTAGCATCACAGCATATTATCAGCACCAGCACATGGTGTAAAGATGGAAGTTCTCTCTGCGTAACAAGTGTAAGGGGACTGCTGCCCCCTTACTAACATTCAGTGGGGGTGTTTTGGTTGCTAGCTCCCAGCACTAAAAGGGGAAGTGTCAATGGCAAATCAGGAGCCTGAGACTGACAGTCCCCAGGAACAATGGGGAGAGGCCAATTCTCCAGATCAGCCTGATTGAAAGGGCGGGCAGGATAATCAGAGAGTCAGGAGGCCAAGGGGGTCCCGTCCTCTGTGTGAACTGGAATGGCCTGGGTCAGAAAGAGTGGGGCCGAGCTAAGGAGAGAGCAGGGGCCCGAGCTAAGCTGCTGGGAGCAGAGCTGCAGCCCCAAAGCCAGAGCACAGCCCAGAGAGAGCAGACCTGCAGCAACCAGAGCCAGAGGGGCCAGACAAGCAGCCAGGGAGCAGGTCAGAGCTGGGAGCAGAGTCACAGAAGCAGCCCACAGAGCAGACCTGTTCTGGGGCAGAGCTGTAGCAACCAGAGTCAGAGAGGCCAGAGAAGCAGCCCAGGGAGCTGAAGGCAGAGCAGCAGCAGCAGCGCTGAGGCAGTGTGAAGCCGGAGCTGGGGCTGGAGCTGTCCGGAGCTGGGTGTGGTGAGCAGCTGGGGAGAGGAGGGGAACCCTGGGCAGTGGGCCCAGCACAGGGAGACGCCTCAGCCAAGAGGCTCTGCAGGCCAGACTTGGAGGGGGATCGTAACCCTGTCAGGGCGGGAGCAACGCTGGGAAAAAGGGTCCTGCCACCTAGAGCCTGAGAGCATGTGGCCACCGCCAGAGCAAGTGTCCAACCCGCAGCATCTCTGCAGCACAGCCAGGGCCTGAGAAGGAGCCTGGGACCTACAAGGAACAGACTGTGACCTGCCCTGACGTTCCAGAGACACTGTTTGTGATGTTCCCTGCCACAGAGCGGGGTGATGTTTCCTTCAACCTTTCCCATTTTTCCTTATTCTTTTTTAAAATTAGTTGTTAATTAAACAACTTGTATTTGCTTTAAATTGTATGAAATGATCAGTGGGTCAGGGAGGTGCCCAGTGCAAAGAGAGTACCCCGGAGTGGGGACACCCTAGCCCCTGTCCTGGGTGACCACAGCAGGGTTGGGGGTCGAGCCCCCAAGAAATCCTGGGCCCAGCCTTGTCAGGGTTTACGAGGAATCTGCCAGACAGGAGAGTGGAAGGGGAGTCCTCAAGGGCAGGGAGGCCTCTAGGTAAAGGAAGTGGGAGCGAGGACTCAGATCCTTTCAGTAGCCCACTTCACCGGGGTAATGCAGAAGCCAGGAAAGTTCCCCACAATAGCGGAACCATTCTCCCGCTTACACAAGGAAAGTCCACGTTTTACGGTGTGCTAGCAGCAACTAATCACCCATGGTAGAACACTGCAATATCCTCCCCTGGGGAGTGAGGAGGCAATAACTTGTTAGTAGCCGATTTCCAACTATTAGCTGCTGGCTTCATGAGAATTATTATTACATGAGAATTTGCAAGTCTCTTTCTTTCTTTCTTTACTTTCTTTCTTTCTTTTTATTTCTTCTCCCCAGCATTGTCCCTTCTCCCCATCACCCCTGGCCAGATGTTTCTGAAACCAGGTGCTCAGTGTCTCTGCAGGTTCTCACCTTTCTCATTTTCCTTCCCCTTCCCTGTTCCTCCCCAACCCGAAGCCTGAAGGGTATGAGAAGGAAACGACCTACAACTTCCTGCTCTGTGCAGCTGGTAAGAACCCCACCCCTCCTGACCTGCCTCTGCAAAGGGAAGGGTGGAAACCCTGGATGTCCGAGTGGAAGAGCTAACTAGAAGCAGTAATCTGGAACTGAAGAAAGTGGGACAGCTCCAGCTGGATAACAAGGAAACGTTTCCTAACACTGAAGGGCTGGAATGGCCCCCATGGGAAGGGCTGGAAGCATAGGTTTCCTGGCCCGGGTCCTGGGGGGATGGGCTAGATGGGATTTAATGTAGGGTTACCATACGTCTGGTTTTTCCCGGACATATCCTGCTTTTCGGCAATCAAACCCCCGTCCAGGGGGGAATTGCCGAAAAGCCAAACATGTCCGGGAAAATGCCGTCCGGGCACTTCCCCTCCCACGGCTGCTCTGCTCCGCTCCTCCCCTCTCAGACTTTAAGAGCCGAGCTGCCCGAGCCAGCGCTACTGGCTTCGGCCAGCCCCCCCTGCCAGGGCCCGTGGAAGGTCCTCTTTTTTTATTTATTTAATGGGGCTTTCCCCTTCTCTCACTCTCTGATTCCATGGAGTGAAATTACAAACTGGAAGGTGCCAGAGAAAGAGCTGGAGACTGCAGTTCCCTTGTCTCACCAGGTGGTGGCACCTCGCTCCATGTGAAGGGCTGGGATGGCGGGTGAGGGGATCCACGCCTGAGAGGGGAGTTGGGGATGGGTGGGGGGTTCACTATAAAGCGATGGACGAATGGAGCTGCTAAAGGCAGGGAGCCCCAGTGCAGTGCCAGGGGAAAGACAGCAGCAGGGGCAGTGTCCTAGCTCCTGTGATGGGGCCTGGTCACTGCTACACGGGGGGATTTTACTACAATCCCATCTATGTCACTTTTCCCCAGGAAAGACAGTGCCTCAACCAATGTCCCTGAAGCTCCCAGAGAACGTGGTGCAGGGCTCGGCCAGAGCCTATTTCTCAGTGCTGGGTAAGTGAGGCCGTCCGAAGAGCCCGGCTTTGGGTGCTGTTGCCGTCCCTTCCCCGTGCCTGATGTTAGTGGTCTTTCCACCCATTCCACTCCTCTCCCCGTTG